CCTTCTCTTTGCAGTGCTGTTGTCCTGCTTAGTTTGCTCCCTTAGTCGGCTCTTACGACACCCACGGGATGAATTGGGGTGGTGACAATTTGTATTCTTAATCCGTCACCACTGAGAATAAAATACAATACAATAAAATAATAAAATACTGAGAATAAACCGAAGATTTATGGATATGCATTGATGTTACTGTAGGTAGTCATTATGCAACGGTAGGACTTTGTGCAATTTATTTGCCACCACCGTTGTAACATGACCATTTCAATGCCTGCTGTGGAGGCAGTAATGCAGGGGGTCAATGAGGTTATTATTGCAGGAGATTTAAATATGAGCACAGTTTTCTGGTGACAAGGGGATAATGTAAATCATACTACGCCTTTTTACACAACTTCAACTCTAAACATTACATTTATGGATTTCTTAAATATAAATAATTTAGGTATTACGATTCAAGTGTGCGTTGCCCCAGTGGAAAAAGTTCGAATTTTATTGTTTGAGATTAACCGGTATTTAGTGTATGTCGTCGTGTAATTGTGTATGGTTAGTAAAAATTTGTGCATACAACCATTGCGGAGTTATTAAAATATTTTTTTTAGGGCCTAGTACTTAATGCTTATGCACTAGGGTCTAGTTTTTATTGTTTATACATACCTTGTAAGCATCTACAATATCTTGCCAAGAAACATTGATGTATAGGCCGACCGTTTATCTGAGTCCTCGCCTGCGCGGTAACAGGCGCGCGGGGGTGTGACGACAAAGGGGACTGAGACAGGTGCGGGCGGCGGGGCGCTTAGTGAGATACACACGAGATGAAATGCGCCAAGATAGTTCCTAAGATATGTGACGTCATAGTAAAGAAATAGTGATTTATTAAATGAAAAATTATTATTTATTTCTTTATTTATACTTTGTGCACAAATGTGACACAGGCGGACTTAATGCCGTAGGCATTTTCTACCAGTCGACCTTAGGGCGATGCAGAGTTAAAAAAAAATGGTAGATGCACAGAAATTCAAAATGTGATTTTAAAGTGATTTAAAAAAAAAATAGTATAAATAGAATATCATATGCACAGGGTACTTAAATAAATTGCATTAATAAAAGAGATACACACAATACATAAGTATTTATGTTTACATAATAATATACATTTATACATACATAAAATTATACATATTATATATATTATAAATATATATATATATACATACACAATAAATTCTAGAAGAGAGAGGTATCAAGGTAGATTTGCTAAGGAGTTTAAGAGATGTTTCCGCAACAGGTATTTAAAAGTTTGCCGAGTTTTTGCCATCCTGATCTCGCGAGGCAGCGCGTTCCATAACAGGACGGATTGTACCAGAAAGGTAGTACGAAGTCAGAGCGGTGAGTGGGACAGTGAAGAAGTAGGTTGCTTGAAGATTTAAGGTTTTTATCATGGTTTGCACCTAAATATTGAAGTTGAGTAGTTAAGTAGGAAGGAGAACTAGGAGAAAAAAGTAAAGAATATAGGGTAGTTAATGCCCGTGTCTCTCTGCGTTGGCGAATTGGAAGCCACCCCAAATGGGAGCGATGCTGAGACACGTGATCATATTTGCGTAAATTGAAAACGAATCGAATGCAATTGTTGAGAAGGCGGTCTAGCTTATTGAGCAGATCTGCATTCAGGTCAAAGTAGCACACATCACCATAGTCGATTATAGGGATTATAAGGGTCTGGGCAAGCATTACTTTAGTTTTTATTGGCAGAAAGGTCTTAAGCCTATAGAGGGCCCGCAACGAGCCTGTGACTTTCTGGCACACAGATGCAGCTTGTTTTCGCCAGCTAAGAGTCGTGTCAATATATAATCCGAGGTCCTTCACACTTTCACAGAATGGAATAACCATGCCATCGTAGATAAGTGGCGGTAGTGAAGCAAGGTCGAGCTGACTTATACGAAGGTTACTTCCGATGATAATACCTTGGCATTTATTCGGGTTCACCGATACGCCAAACATATCTGACCAGTGTTTAATGGCCGCCAGGTCACTATTTAGGATCGAGACCGCGGACGATACATCGCACAACTCAGTTTGATAGTATAACTGCAAGTTATCAGCATAGAGATGATAGGAACACTGAAGTCTTGGGGTTAATGAAGATAGAAAATAGAAGAGGTGAAAGAATACCGCCTTGTGGGACGCCAGCAGAAAGATCGCGCCAGCCAGAGGAAGAATCTTCCGTCCTGACTGACTGCTGCCGACCCTGAAGGTAAGAGGAGAACCAGTTCAGTGCTTCTTGAGAGACCGAGAAATGGGATAGGACAGCAAGGAGGAGTTCATGACTGACGGTATTGAAGGCATTGGAAAATCAACCAGTACTAAGGCAGTAACCTTAGCATTCTCCATCGCCACCTTAATATCACCAGTCCTATCCATCCGCCTAATGCAACGCCTGTAAAGGAACTTAGGTTTGGGTTTTGGGGGTTTGAGGAAGTAGGAGAGGAAAATCAGGTCATGATGAGAGAATCCGGGTGCGTCTAGTTGACCATGAGAGGAAACAAGGGAAGGATTGGAAGTGATGATTAAGTCTAGCCAAGTGTCCTCGCCGATATTATTGTGGTGAGTGGGGATATTTTTAAATATTTTTTGAATTATTTTTACGCTAATCTACGTCTAACAGCGCAACTTTTGAGAGGTCTTAAGTAGCTAAAATAAGAACAAAAAAATTTCGGGACACCCTAGTGTACATGGTATGACCAAGTCTATATTAACAAGCCGTGCACAGCAGCTGGGACAACATTGTCCCAGCGGAAACAGTTTTTCGTGAATAACTCCCCCAATGGTTGGATTCCACAATTGTAACAAATTGTGCATTCTGGTGTGTGGTATCCGAGGGGATTTTCCCCAAAAAAAAGTGGCACTTGAAATCCTCACCAAAATATAGGATATATTTGAAAAAGCAGAAATAAGATGTAAGGCACACAGGATTCAAGGAAATCAAGGTCCTCATTGCTCAACAATTTAAGAAATGCTCCTTCAATATTTTGAGTGTTTGTGGTCGATGGGCAGTGGCAATGCATTCCACAAACGTATGGCTTGCATAGTAAATGACTTGTCCATAAAAGTTCTCCGACGATCATAGCAACCTTTAATGCGTAATATATATGCATTTGAAACGTTCTTTATATAAAATGGAGTGTTGAAATGAAAGAGCATATTGTACAATAGGAAAAGGATATGAATATTCTGGCGAAGACGAATGGGTAACCAGATGAGCATATTTCGATATTCAGAAGCATGGTCAAATTTGCGCAATCTAAAAATGAACCTTATGCTAGAGTTTTGAAGCCGCTCAACCTTATTAAGTTGGTGCTCGGTGAAATCAGGATAGCTTGTATCTGCGTAATCGAGGATAGGGAGAAGAAGGGATTCTTCAAGCGCAGATTTGGTCGTAATTGGTAAGAAGTTACGCAAACTTTTCACAAATCTGGCAGAAGCAAACAATTTTTACTGACTTCTTATAGTTGCAGACCCCAGGACAAATTTTATCAAAATGAATTCCCAGATTTTGGATGCAGTTCAATACGGGAACTATGGCTCTATCGCTAAATATTTGGGGCTGAAGTGACCAATCGAATTTAGATAAAGTTCTAGTGCTATCGATTACAATCGCTTGTACTTTAGATGGATTCACGTTTAACCCTGCCCTGCACGTTTTGCCTGCTCCAAACACAAATCTGCTCTTTATCCCTGTTTATAATTGAGATAGCTGCTCCTAGTAATTGCGCGGGTGCTTGAGAATGGATATTTAACTCTTTACTACAACGCAATAGGAGAGGCCTAGGTCCATCAGTGGACTGTGATAGAATAGGAAGTTTTGCTATGGTTGTTTACTTATTTGGGTACGCTGATTAGCTGCTACTGGAAGCTTTAGTTAGTGGGATTTACATTTTACAGGTACCGTATCGAATTTACATGAGTAGTCGATAGTTTCTAAGGGAATAACGGAACTAAAGTAGTTTTCGCATACGTTTTATTATATTTTTATCAAGAACGATTTGAAACAGCTCTAGTTGTTTTGTGTTCTTTGTGGAAAATATTCCGTTTGAACGTGTTGGACTGCATGAAAAAAAGCATACTTGGAATAATTTGGGTTTCCATTACCTGTAAACGCCAAGCCCTGGATGCCTAGTTTCGTATCTAAACATTGTGTTGACTGCAAGAATAGAGGCTAGGATACAATATTAGTATGCGTCACAGCTTTCTACACTATTTTACTAAAAATCTTGATGACCTAAGCAAGGAGGAAGGGAAGCGCTTTAACCGGGATATTTTCACCATAGAAAACTGATACTAGGCATACTGGAACGTAAATATGATGACTAATCATTTAAAATAGTACTCCCAACACACATCACGAGAAATTTGTGTGAAAATTTCATTCAGAATAAATACATTTTTATACATTAAATTATGTGCATAATATTAAAAATTCCGTCACTTCATAGCTACTAAATTAAAGCTGCTAAGTGGCAAAAAAGCTATTCAGATTCATGAAAGAATAATCAGCAACAGAATGTTCACCTGTGCAATCAACTAAATTTACCGACTTTTGCCATCAGTTGTCTGAAATTTTATTTTGTTAAATATTATAATAATAAGACACATGTAGCAGACACGTGACTCATTATATTAGAACTAGTTACATTTTTATTAGTCTAGACCGATTTTGTTATAACCTGGTTGGTCAAGCATTTTATCAATAATGTAGGTAAGGCAGTGAACAATCGAATCATGAGTGTCAGTTTGGGATATGGCTTATGGAGCCATTTTACTAGATAGATCGATTTGACATTGATGAAAGATATAATAACTTGTCTTTGGGCAGCATATCCGAACGTTTATGGACGGTTCGTGAGGTTATGTTTACTGCATAATTTTGTCGAGTCAGAATTCTGTCGGTATCTAATTTAGGACAAAACTTGCTCAATCATTTAAAGTTACAAAGTAAGTAAATTAAAATGTTGGTTACGCTGAAGACTCTACAACAACAAACTTTTCAAATAGAAATTGACCCAGAAGAAACTGTTAAAGCGCTTAAGCTGAAAATCGAAGTAGAAAAAGGTAAAGATTATGTTGCTGATCATCAAAGGCTTATTTATGCAGGGAAAATATTGTTGGATGACAATAAAATATGTACTTACAACATAGACGAAAAGAAATTTGTTGTTATCATGGTGACTAAACCTAAAACATCGGAAACCCCAGCGTCAACTACATCGGCGCCCGAAAGTGGTGAAAGTGCTTCCACAGAGAGCGGAGATGCTAAAGCAAAACCCGCACCTGAAGAAGCTCCTAAACCACCACCTGCAGCGGAACCTGAGCCAGTGGCAACCTCTAATGAACCTGATTTCGAATCTACTGTTCAAAGCATTATGGATATGGGATATAACAGACAGCAAGTTGAACAAGCTCTAAGAGCTTCATTTAATAATCGAGAGAGAGCTGTAGAATATTTAATAACAGGTATCCCAGAAGAATTACTTCAAGAACAGGAAGCTGAAGATGGCCCAGATGATGATCCTCTGGCATTTCTTCGTGATCAACCTCAATTTCAACAAATGCGTGCAGTAATCCAACAAAATCCTAACTTGTTAAATGCTGTTCTTCAACAGATTGGCCAAACAAATCCAGCCTTATTGCAAGCTATCAGTGAACACCAACAAGCATTTGTAAGAATGTTGAATGAACCAATTAATCCATCAGCCGCTGGAGCTGTTGCTGAAGAGAATGCTATTGAGCTACCCCAAGCACAACAACCGCAAGTTTCACCACAAGATAAAGAGGCTATTGAACGATTAAAAGCATTGGGTTTTCCAGAGCATATGGTTATTCAAGCATACTTTGCTTGCGAAAAAAATGAAAATCTTGCTGCAAATTTCCTACTTTCACAGAATTTTGATGATTAGATTTATCATTTGCAAACTATTAAAGTGGAGAGACAAAATTATAAATATGACACAGAAGTGTATTAAATATATTGTCTACATCAATAGCCTAAAATAGTGTTTACTGCTTGCGTTTCATGTGTATTTTTACACTGAATTTAAAACATTTTGTCATAATTCAATACCTAATAAATTTCTTATTGTTCAACAATTACTTTTATTTTAATCTTTGTTCAATTCTATTCTTTTGCTATTTTACTTGATTTAGGGCCGGTTTTTCAATCCTCAGATAAACAGTTAGATAGCATTTATTCCATAGTTAGAGTTATCTGAAGAATAAAGCTTAAATATAAGGAATAACTTTATCTGTTGTTTCACACCACAGTCAGTGATATTATCTGTAGAATAGTGATTTTGACTTTTGTGTATTAATCAAATTTTCTAATATTTGTTATAGTAAAGTTTATATACGTTGCCTTATTGGCAATTGGCATTGGCATATTTAAATTTTGCCTAAGTGAATATGTATGCTTTCGTCCTGATCGGCCGCTTAACTATAGAAGAAGACCTACTAAACTTTTTGTGTCATGAGAGAAAAAAGGGTTGTTAGAGATAGATATGACACTACTTTGTGTGATGATGAACAATTTCTTCACAAGTTATTCGCAAATGCAATTCCTCGAAATTTAATGCTCGTTTCTTAATTGATTCCATTTAATACAAAAATAACACGAATAAAGATAACATTTTATACCACATTCACACAACGCCATCTAGTCCCAAACTAAGTACAGCTTGTACAATGGGTACCAGACAACTGGTAGAAATACATTTACACTAATTTATAATATATTTTTTGGAAATTCATACAAAATCAAAAATTAAACGTAAAAGTACACAAATCTTTGAACAGAGCGAGAACCGAACCCACTACCTTTCCAGTAGCAGTCAGTTACACAAACTACTACACCATTGCCCACTGTCACTACTGTCGTCAATAAGGATATGACGTATTATATGACAGACAAGCAATGACAAGCAGAGAATGACAAAATTAAATGTCGAACTGTATAGCTGCATCTCGCTTGCTCATTTACAGTGAATTTGGCTATGAACGACCATCAAGTAACTATCTGTCGCTTTAAACCCGATTGAAAAACAGAAAGTTTATTCGGTTGATAATGAACAATTTCTTCACAAGTTATTCGCAAAATTTTTTTTTTTTTTTTTTTCAGAATTCTGGGCATGCTTTCGACTTCAGTAACCTCACTCACACGGTGAAAAGCATCGAAATATGCTTAACACCGGTTTTTTGTGAGACCGTGGGATCATTCTGGGCCTCAATTCTGCTATTTTATGTTCACGCCAAGCCACTGTAATACCACTGACACGCTATTGAGATGCCATCGAGTGGCCATTGGCATCGGTATAAATATGGGTAGTCTACACTAACTAAACAACAACAAAAACCGCAACTCAATAGCGTGTCAGTGGTATGACAGTGGCTTGGCGTCGCGGCCCAATAGTGGATAAAATGAAAACGATGCTATTGTTTAAACTTTGAAATTAATTAAAATTGAAGTGAAACGTGAAGTCACAATAAAAGTGTTGTATGACGGCATACTAAGATAGTAAGATCTGTTTATATTTTATAGCTATTGACTTAACAAAAAGAAATATATCTGTAATGGCCATACGTACCTGCACAATAAACAAAGGGCATACCTTTTAGCCAACTTCAATAAAATTGAAAAGCGAACTATGCATACAAAAAAATAAGACAGTCTTGCGTTTTGATGTTTAAGGTAGGTAGTAAATAATAAGACCACAATAGTACATCAAACAGTTAATATTATTAATTTTATAAATAGCATTAAGTTAACATAAAGAGCTATGTTGGTATAAATTTTATTCATTCTAAGTAAAGGCACTTTCCACAATGTCTATTATTATTAATGCTTAATCATTTACCATGATTGATTAACCTTAATAAACACAGATTCAAAAATAACAACATTATGTGGTATAATCAACTCGTCCATTTTATTAATATACAATTTAATTGTCATTATAATTATACTATCTTAAAACATTAGTAAATCAATCATGGCAAACAAAATATATAAAATCTTATTTTAACTCTGGTAGTCATCTAAAATTACCCATTCACGAAAACAAAATATAATATGTGTATATTATTATGTGGACGAACATAGACAAGAATGGTATGCAACAACTATTAAATCATCTTAGTTTTCACAATAGTAGAACACATAAAACAAGATTTTCTGATAAAATACCACTCCTCTCATCCACATCATTACACTAGTATATTATATACAAAGTTTTTATACATCCCTTTTTACATATCTTTTCATCTATACACAATGTACAAAATTCTTATTTTCATTTATTATAGGTATGTATCATTTATTAGTATTAGAAAAAATATAACTGTACATTGCAATATGGATTGCACAAAACAACTAAAATATTAACTTTGGCTTATCCATTATGAACACCTCTGGGGTGTTGAAAGTAATAGGTATAATCAGCTTACATACAGTACTGTATCACTTCAGTATCTTTGATCACAGACACATGTGACAATCATTAGAAGTATGATAAAAAACTCTCTATAGACCACAAGTACAACCAAAAAGTACCTTAAAGAATCAAAATTACCGCAAGAAATTGACATATTTTAATAATAGAACATTAAAATTTCAAAAACATAATGATATAAAGAACACTAAATCCAAAAATGGCACCAAGTCGAACTTGCTTGAAATTCTAGGTATAAAAAACAACATTTTGGAATGGTAAATAAAGCTATGACTGATGTTTTTTGTTTTTTAAAAACTTGAAAATAATATTATGGTACTTTTGTCAACAATGTGATAGTATTATTAACGCGACAGAACTAAGTCACTAGTACGCTGTGTGGGTTCAGTTATTCTTACTGCATAAAAAAATCAAACAACTGATATTAAAACAACAATAGAAAATTACAAAACACATTAACAATTCAATACATCAAATCTAACAATACTTTCAAGAAAATATGAATTGATCAATTATGAATTACCAAAATTGAACAACTTGACTTGATCAACTGCTAAGTATACACAATTGCAAACATGCAAACTCTATTTAACTTGAGAGCCCACCCAAGCAATTCGAATGCTGCACTTAAGCACAATGCGAACAGTAACAATGTGCGCCTTAAGGCTCTCAATCACAGGGCAGCGGCACACCCTTTAGCCAGCTGGACCTCATTCTGTCTTTTGCTGACAATATAATTCTTTTAAAGATTTCAGTTCTTCTATAAGTGCTTTGTTTTGATTCTCGAGCACTGCTACTCTGTTCTCCAAACATTTAATGTATTCTTTTTTCTTGCGACGACACTCTCTTGCCGCTTCACGATTCTTCAGGAGACGGAGCTCACGTTTACGCGTTTGATCTTCAAGCATAGGTCCTGAAATAATAGAGGGGTTTATCCACTTATATTATGACATTGGTGATATTATTGCCTATAGATTCGTTTATAATGATACCTACCAGGCACATAGAAATGGTCATCTTGATTCGTAGCATATTGCACAATTGCGCCGCCTCCAGCAGTGCCGGAAACCGCTAGTGTATGCAAACCACTCTCTGTTTGAAGAGCTCCAGCTGGGATCACTGAAAATATACTTTTCTGTTAGTTTCTAGTTCAGGTTATAAACTTCTCAGATTATTTCAGACACAATTATGTTGCAGTATTGTCAGTATTTATGTATAAAGATTGTGCTCTGCAAGAAAAAATTAAATTACAATGATTAAGTAAGAAGTTGCGTTAACGTTGCAGTACGTACGATTTAGGCTAAAAGTTTGCCGCGTTTGTTAATATAATTTAGGTCTTGATGACGCTGAAATGTTGACATTCATTTGAATAGCAGTTGGTCCAACTGCGTTACAAACGAGTTTGTAGTGCGACTGATTATTACCTGCAAGCATAACTACGTGTTCTGCACTTTCGATGCACTATGACTCAACATTTGAATATATAAAGTGCAATTTGCAGCTAGCGTGCATAGAGCGAAAATGTATATTAAATAGAATTTGGAAAGAGACTCTCTATAAACAATCATATTACTTAGAAATCTTCATGGATAGTGGCCTTAACGTAGTATGTTGGTCTCAGATTAAACTAAACTATAATTAGTGTTCCATCTCGGGGTCGTAACGTCGGGGCCATGGATGTAAACTAAAAAGGAAATTAAAAACAGGCGATCCTAACAAAAAACGGGGGTGGCCTTGCCAGTCCAATTTTAACAATATATAATTAATAATACTAAAAATCTTAATAAATAAAAAAACTCCTTAAGTGTGTGACATTTAAAGGTATACAAGCACGTCATATTAACGACTCAGGAAAAGTACGGGACCCACAATGCCGTGTCTCAAACCAATTTAAGAAGCAATACAAACACCGACCTATGTCAGTTAAAATTTAATAGTATCATCAGTGATAAAGGTTGTATCTCTAACCAAAGATCCATCCATCGGATATTAAAGAAGCAAGCTCGCTTAACATTTTTAAACAAAAACTTGCGATCTTTCATTTTTAACAATATTGTTATAACGTAAAAACGCTCTTAAATTGTACCGCCGGTCACTATGGTTCGACATCACATTCATTCTGTTCCGAGCTTGCATTCTTGGATTAACCGTCATGTAATGAGTGTTTTCTAACTTAAAAATATCTGCACCGGATTAACATAACTCATTTTTTTTAAATATTGTTCGCATGTAAGTGATTATGTCTTAATGAGACATAAAGATCTTTAAACCGAACAAAAGATATGGCACTAGAGACCATCGTCAAGAAGACTTTTTTCCACTCACTCACTGCACCACTGTAGATCTGCTCTCATTGTGGTAGCAGCAGTAGTTAGCAGAATACAGTTAACAGAAAACAGTACCCAGTTTGTTCATCAACTTATTTTTTTTTGTAATAAGCGCTTATAAGCTTCTCTTGAACTACTGGCATAAAAACTTTGAACGCGTATAATAAACCTCTCTCAAGCTATGAGCATCAACTATCAGTCACCGCAATTTAAACAGAATGGCATCTGTGTACTTAACATATCACAGTGAAACCTCAATATAACATAAATAAAGGGGATTAAAAGGTATTTATTTTACCAACTTTTTTATGGTCTTCACCATAAAAAAGTCCTTGGAACTCCTTTTTTTTCACACATCTCACACAAGGCCGTCTGTTCTCAAACTAGGCAGAGTGCCTGTGTTATGGTAACCAGACTGGAGATAAACATAATCATATTATTATATATTTCTAAATACGCACATTTAGAAAAATTACACCTAGACACAAAACAAATAATGGTGTTCATCACACAATTATTTGTTCTGGGTGGGAATCGAACCTACAACACCCAGATTAGCAGTCTGGATCGCTAAGAACTAGACCAACAGGCCAGGCATTAATTCCTCAAACATGGCAACTTCACATTTATTTATTTATTTATTAATAAGTACTACCACATCATACATATTATACTTATAACTAGTTTTGACAATACGTGGCATTATACCTGATATGTATGACAATTAAGGTGTACATAGCATTTACTGTAATGTAGTAGTGTAAAAAGTAGTAAACTAATTACAATCAAACGAGAAAAAAAAACTAACTAAAGAAGAGTATACTTAATAATAATAATAAACTGTTTGAATTAATACTACTCTAAATCTATTTTATATCTTATTCACATTTGTTTGGGGTTAAGGTAGATGGACACAAAACATTTGTTATTTTAGTTTTAAATTCATTATACGATTGGCGAAAGATGTCAATGTCAGGATCACGAGTTTGGATACTATTATATTGGTTAAGGACTCTATTTATTGGTGAATGTTGGCCTAAATTAGTTCTTGAAACTTGTGTGTGGAATATTTTAGTTATTCTATGTCTGGGATAAGAGTGAGGAACCTTCACTGATATTTTTTCTAATAAATAATTGTACTGTATATTATTATTAATTAATTTATGAAGAAAACAAAGGTCAAAAATGCGTGTGCGATTAGAAAGAGTGGTCATGTTAAACTTGGATAGCCGTGTGTCGTACGGGCTCCTATGAGAAAAACCACTGCAAGAGTAGGCAAGGTTTCTGGTAAAGGCTCTTTGAATGCTTTCAATTCTTTGGGAATGAACAGCGTACCATGGTGACCATGCAGTACTCGCAAATTCGAGAATGCTGCGGACAAGAGCATTGTACAGAAGTAATTTGGTATCTAGTTTTTTAAAATCTGAGCTATTTCTCCTCAAAAAAAAAAGCATTTGTGCTGCCTTAGTTACAGTTTTGTCAATATGCGATGTAAAAGTCAGCCCTGTATCGATGATAACGCCCAAATCACGAATCTCATTGACCTCTGCTAAATAAACCCCGCCAACCTCATACTTAGTAACAAGTGGTTTTTTTTTGCGGGTGTACTTGATGTGAAAGCATTTATTAACATTAAGCCTCATGCAGTTTACGTTGCACCAATCTAATATTGCATTAAGGTCATCTTGTATTAGTTGGGAATCACTGATTGATTTCACTGGATGGTAAATCTTAAGATCATCAGCAAATAGTGACATTTTGCAGTGCTTAATACTAGAACTTATATCATTTATAAAAATAAGGAAGAGAACTGGTCCTAAGTGGGAACCTTGAGGCACTCCAGAAACCGCATAATAGGCTCGTGACTCAAATCCGTTCACAACCACACTTTGTGGTCTATGTTGCAAATATGATTCGAACCAGTTTAACAATGCCCCCTCTATGCCGTAGGCATGCAGTTTTTGTAAAAGAACTTTATGATTGACCTTATCGAAAGCACAGCTAAAGTCAGTATATATCGCATCTACTTGCGATCCAGCATCAACTTCTTGAGATATGTCTGAAATAAAGGTAACTAGATTTGTCAAAATTGAGCGACCGCTTCTAAATCCGTGCTGATGATCAGAAATACTAGTATTTATTAATATTATAATTGAAGGATACAGAACAGATTCAAATAATTTTGAAAAACAAGAGAGTATGGATATTGGCCTGTAGTTAGCAACATTTGCGTGATCCCCTTTTTTAAAAACTGGTACTATACGAGCTTTCTTCCACTCGTCAGGAAATTTGCCTTCGGATATAGAACGGTTAAATATTAAGGGAAAGTGGTAACGCAAGCGATTGACCACAGAGCTTAACAAATATGGGTGGGATCAAATCAGGTCCTGCACCCTTCAATCCGTCTAGTTTTTTTATTGCATTTCGAATGTCAAGCTCCGTAAACAGTACATTGACCAAATAATTATTGTTGGGAGAAGTTAATGTACAAGGGTTAATAAGAATACTATCTGAGTACACCGAACAAAATTGATCAGCAAATAAATTTGCAATATCGCTACCATTTTCTGCAACAGAATTGTTCATATGCATTTTAACTGGTAATGTTGAGCATCCACTCCAAAAAAGTTTTGGGTTGTATGGTATATTCGATTCTATTGTGCATTTATAATTATTATAACATGTATCAAAGAGCCTATGACAGCGATTTCGGAGTAAATGAAATTCGATTTCATCCCGCGGATTACCATATTTTCTGTATTTTTTACGGACTTTCTCCTTTTCATTTAAGAGCTTGATTAATGAATTACTAAACCACGGTGGATAACGTGCTTTAGTGGCCTTCTTGATTGGTACATATTTAGAAATTAGCTGTCTTAAAATTGTATAGAATTCACTCACCATGTCATTAACATCCTTACAATGTTTAAATACATTATACCAGTTTACATTATTCAAATTTCTATTAATATTTACATAATCAGTCTTATAAAAAATATATTTAGCTATGGGATTTGGAACAAGATATTTAACATTATCGTCGTAAGTAATATTCACTAACAGACCAGGATGTATTTGGTAACTCTTACTTAAGGAACATAAGGGGTTTGTTACATATGTCTTTGGTATATTACTGAGAACTAGATCTAATAAACGATCATCATTATTCTTAACAGAATTAAATTGTAACAAGTTGTTTGACAACATAAAGTCTATAAGCGAGTATCCTAAACTTACATTATAATTATATGGAGTCATGTGAGTACAATCACTATCAGAGCGCCAGTGGATGAAACCGAGATTAAAGTCCCCAATTACAATGACGTCATTACTGTCGTTGATTACGTTGTCAATGGAGTTTAATATTTTTGACAACTGGTTTAGTTTAACAGGTGGAGGCAGGTAGACTGCACAGATTGAAAGTTTTTTTATAGTGTGCTTTAAAGGAACCTCTACTGTGACCCACATAACCTCAGAATCATTACTTTCCCAATTTTGTACCCTAACAGAAAAAAGTTCCCGTGACACCGCAATCATAACCCCACCACCATCTTTTTTAGTATTTTGCGAACATATTCTATCCTTACGGTAAACAACATATCGACTATCAAACAACTCGGCGTTGGATATGCTTGCATTTAGCCATGTCTCTGTAAAAACAATAATCTTATAATTAGAGATAATAACATTTTTATATAAATCTGCAGTCTTTGTCCTTAGTCCTTGCACATTTTGATAATATATATCAAGCATTTTTAAAAACAATTATCCAGAACATTCGTAACAAACACTTGGGGAGAATTTATTTAATAAGGTTAAGACTATCTTCACTCCTAATAGATATAGCTTGGTGGTTTTCGTCTTTACGCACATAAACCCGTCCGTTACGAACCCATACACACTTGTACGACAACTCTTTAGCCTTTTTCAGCCATTTTCATGCAGCAGCATGCAGGTGCTTATTGCTTGGGGTCAGATGCTCGCAGACAAAAACCGGCGATCGAGTACCGCCTATACCAAGGTGACTGGTGCTGAGTTTGTCCTGGGGATTCTGCTTATTAAACTTCGTTACTGCAGCTAGTAGTATATCTCGGGTACGAGGGTTTCGCAACTTCGCGACTATGGCACGTGGTCTTTCACTGTCTCTGGATATTTTGCGACTCCGGTTACTTGGTGGATATCATCAGAAGATAACGGACTTTCAATTACTTTTGTCAGTTGGACTATGGTATTGATGAGATTTTCCGATCTGTTTTCAGGAACGCCATTAACCTCAACATTGCATTCTCTCATATGTAATTCAGTTGAACAAAGCCGCCCTGTTAAGTCACTAACAGTAGTCTTTAGTCTTTCATTGTCCCTTTTCAGCTCATTCATGCAGGAGATAGTATCATCAAGGCGCACTCTTATGTCTTCATATTGCTTACTTAGGAATGTCATAGATTCTTGATAGTCAGTAATTTTATCATAAATAGTTTTGAATTCGGTAGTTATTAATTGCTTAATTGTGGATTTGATCGTAGAAGAGATTTCATCTTTCAGTATTTCGCGTAGCCTGTCTTCGGTAACTAAATTGGGTGGGATCTGCGGCGATTCAATTGGGGTGGTAATATTACCCCGGCTTTGACTCGATACACATTGACTAACAACAGTGATAAGTGGTGTTACATTTTTAAATGTGTTTTTGATTTATTTAAAGAAGCATAATGGACCTGTTAAGTTTTCATTTTGAATTAATCACTATTATTTCTGTATGAAGCTAAATTGTTGTTACCTCAGCTTCTTATTATGTTTGTAATTTGTAAATGCAAATAATACAAAAAACAGTACAGAAATAAAATCTGAATCAAATATGAATAAACAAACTGGATAGTTAAGTCGAAACAGTATGCCGTCATCATACCTCCTCGAGCAAGATTACGTCATCGCTTAGAATATTAATCAGGTCTCAGCGGGGTGACGTCATTTTTGCAGGAATTTACGCCTACTGTTACAATATGTACCTACATTAAATATATTATTTAAGGACACAACTTATGTAAAATAATTGTAAAATATTTTATAAGATGAGCTAGTTAAAGGCATAGATTTTAAGTCTGGTTGCTCTAGTTCTGCCCGATTGTAGGTGCGATAGCTACTTTGACTAGACTAGACAGAACAGACTAGAAAGTTGATGTATCCATGTTAACTGTTAATTTTTTTAAATATATAATAGCTATTGACACCTAAAAAATAATAGTCTGCATTGTCAAATATTACTGTTTTGATTACAAAAATGCAATATGAGGCTTGAGATATTAATAAGATTAGACAAAGAAGCAGATTCATTTAAAGCGGTCCATTTTAAAGTGGAGACACTGCAATAGTTAGGTTTCAATTCGAAGAGAAAACAGTAGGGCATAATCTTCGTCAAAAGGTTTGATTGCAAACAAGTGTCTATGTATATACTACATGAGACATAAGTACTAATTAGGTTTATGGAGTTAATATTAATAATTATGCAAGTGATTTTTAATACTTTTCATGTAAGGGCAACCTAATGTAAAATTAAATGATATTTCTACCAAAACCAAAACTTACTGACTACAACTAGATAAAGGCAATACCTGGTTTTTAAAACTAGGCATGAGATCTAGATATTGTCAAAAGTTAAAGATCTATTTGGATTCCTAAGTCACTCATTTTAAATTCATGAATTTCTGGGAGAAACAATATAAAAACATGTAAAATTTTCAACTAGCATACAGTGATTTTATATCTAGAATATGAGTAAGATGCAGTGGTAAAATTAAATTAAAAATATTAGAACGGTCTCCCTAACCTTTTTCATTGTTACAAATGTTTACTAGTTTGTGACTGTTAATGACACATACTACGTAAGCATTGTATGTAATACAGTTAGGATGTGCATTATATTTAGTAAAATGAATAAAACTTTTATGAGTCACATAAAACCAATTGTATTTAACTTTAACAGGCAAGAAGGCTTGATTTAGGGATAGACGAATGAAATTGGCTACACCAGGTACAAATAGAAAGAATTCACCAAATTTAACATCCTACCAACTTCATCTAGGTTTAACTGGCTAGAACTAGGTGTAATAATACTCTGACTTTTAGATGATACATATTTGTATATTATTTATTAAGGAAAATGAAATCCCAGAGATCCCTCATAAGTTACCTATAATTACAATGTTTAGGTATTTAAAAAAGTAAGTTGAATTTTTATATAACTAGTAGAGCTAGTATGCACGACAAATAAACTAGCAAAATATCACTGTATCAGCCAATACAGTCATTATTAATAGAATAAACCTGAGAGATCTTTCATTGTGGATGAATATACCATATCATGCTGCAACACATAGGAGCTGAGCAGTAACTAAACTAGCATAATCCCAATTTATTTAGAATTCTCAAAAAAAATATTTAAAACTACCACTCATAGTAACTTAATCTTACTCTACCTCAACCAAGTGAATAGAAATATGGAATGAATTGATGAAAATTCATAATATGTATAACAGTATGGTGTTAAGGGTCTAAAATTTATTTTGTAGGTGTAAATTGTTACTAGAAAGTAGTTTATCAATGTTAATTTTAAAGTTGGTAAAGTCATATTGTGTGCCAACTACATTTGCTAGAAGAGGCTAACCAGAGAGACTAAAATAACAAATACGTTTTGTTTTGCACGCATGTAAAATACATTGCTGTTCCACATTATTCTGCCAGCATCAAGGACGGAATATCGAGTCATCTTTCTGTCTATCTACTTCTTCTGTGTAAATATTATTTTACACAAACAAAATTTACAACCATATAATAAATTCTACATAATGTACAAGTTTCCGGAATCATGAAATCAGGATTTGTGAGCCTTATAACTGCATCAATTAAGGCTACTATTATCAGGTAAAGGTAGAATAATATAGATTAAAAGTTAAAATTCACTAGTACAAAGTGTAGTAATCCAATCAGAAAAAGAAATTTAATATTCAATGGAACAAATGATGACAACCCACTACTAACTACTACTTCAAGGGATGACAATATTTGATTTCTCAATCTATGTCAGATTGAATATTTACAAATGAGAATGACATAATCCTGAAGCTAGTGGTTATGAGCTGTGTACCAACACAATGTACATTAAGAGTTATGTATGATGCATCGTAACAGGTTAGTGACACATGTTGCACACAGAAACAAATAGTGTCAACGGTGGCACATATAACTGACCTGGTGCAAATGATAAAGAAGATGACAGCGACACTTCGTTCTCGGTTCCTGGTTTTCCCATGCGATTTTCTGCAATGTCATCAGGTGCTTATACTTTTAAATATTTTACTTTATTTAATTCAGCCTGTTTTGTTAGTAACTTTTGTAAGTTATTTACAAATCATATTTCCATACTATGAAGAAACCTAATGGGTAGTATAAGTAGAAAAATTCTTCTTTGTAATTATAAGTTCATTAATTATTTTATGAGTTTTTTTTAATTACTTAGTTTAGGAATGCAAATCATATAAAAGCACAATCTTTATATCATCTAATCATCCTCTTTGTAGCACTTCATTTGCATATAATCCTAAGTAATATTTTAAAATAATGATCTAGATATTCATATTAACATTTATGTTAATTATACTGCCTTATTATACTCACCAGCAATTTCAGCACCTCCAAGATCATTTAATATTTTGCGGTAAGAAGGACGTCTTGTCAGCATTTCCCGATACTTGCGTTTTGGGCTATCATCGCCACTACAGCTATCTTCACTACATGATTGTCCTTGTGTACTGACCACTGTTGGTTCTGGTTTTATCTACAAAAGTATAATTATGTATTCAGTTATCAAAAAAAGTTAGCATAAAGCATAACATTTATCTGAAAGAATAGTATTTCAAATGGTGGTACATATTTTTTTACATTACACACAATGATAGATACTGTTTAAGAACACATGAAATACATATTTATATAAAACATAATTAAAAAAAGAATTCTCCATAAACAAAAAGAAAAATGAGCATACCTGTAGAGTTTGTAATGTTCCTTGTGTTGTGTGTATAACAGAATTTGGCTTACTAACAAGAATAACATTCCCTTTTGGTAACTGCACAGACTGTATATTAGATGCTGTTTGAATTACCGATTGTTGATTTGGTTGTATTACCGATTGAACCTGAAATAAATATTATATAAAGTATATTTTATCTAAAATTATTTCACATTTTTAATAAGCACATGTTATCTTACAAGTGATTATATTTTGAACATTGGTTTAACCTGAAATCATAAACAAAAGTAAATTTAGAAGTAATTTAAACCATACAAAATATAAACATCAAGTAACAGAGACTTTTGCATTCAATTAACACTAGCAATTTTGATAATGAATACTAGCACTGTGAAAAATAACTTAGTGATAATGCCTACATTTTTCATTTGTCAAGTACGAATTTGAAGGCACTTTAAACTCAATGAATGTAAACAACATACTCAACTTAGGTTAGTGTTATCACAACATGTAAACATCACAATAACTTTATCTGTGTTGATATAAATAATGAACAAAATAAACACCTGTGCAGAAGGCGCTTGTGTTGGCAATGTGAGTTGCACAATACTGGTGACAGCCACGACGTGGGGTGCAGTCGCGGCAGCCGAAGAGCTTGCACTGGCCAGCGGATCCGTGGGACCAGTTCCGCTTGTGCCATTCTCTTCCACCATTCCATCCATGCCCACTAAGGTCACCTAAAATTCAAGGTCAACTTTCTGTGCATTCCTTGATCTTCAGACATGTTCAAGGCAACATCTTTCGTTGAATTTAAGTTTCTTATCCTCTGACAAGTTTCGTGTTGGCTTGTAAATCCTAAAACGGAATCATCGCGTCATAGTCGGGACGCGGAATTTCCTATTGCGTCTGATACAAACGCAACATAGTTTTTGGGGTGTTTAATAATATTAAGTATTCCATTAACATACGGATCATACATTATTTGTGAATCCAAATTTAAGTAACCGTGACAGGTCGCAAGGTTTGTCTTCACAAGCACTCACCAGTTACGTATTCCTCGTCACCGTCTATGCTGCGTCCGGAGTGGGCGAACGGGATGGTACGTAGTAGCCACGTCAACTGCGAGAAGACTCGTCACTGGCGGAGACCTATGATCTTGTATGCGTCATAACAATATGGCCGAAAATTGTCAGACGCATGCGCCAATTGCCCTCTTTTCCTAATACTTCCTCGCTTTGACAATCAGTTTTGTAATTTGACAGTTCCTTTTTTAACACTAGCAATTATATGACTGTTGAATTTAAGAACCGTAGACAATATATTTTATTTTTAGGGAACTCAACGTCAGTTGTAATAAATTTCTGTAGAACAATATCTATAAATAATTAGATTAAATTATATATTTTTTCTCTTCATAATTTGTTCTTATTTGTTTTTTTTTTAATAGTATAAATATACAAAACAGCATCCAAAACTATAGATGAAAAACAATCGATTTAAAAAGTTTTTAATAAAATGTTGCTGTTTTAAACCCCAAATAAATCGTTTGCAACAGTTGAAAACTCGCCTACAAAATAAAATCTCTGTTTTACACTTCATTGTGGCCAATTTTTGGTCACCTGACTTCATGTTTCGTCTTAATTAGTTTATAGAAAATCAATAGAAAATACCTACCTACATTACCTAGTTCACGAAAACTTCAGTATGTGGGTATACCTACCTAAACTTATTTATTATATTATATTACACACACTAGATTAGACGACATCATTAGCATAATGTTACTACACAATGTAAAGAGACAACGTTATGTTTTCAAGGCCGTCGCACCGGTGCCGTTTTTAACTTATCAATAGAGTTTTTATAACTTAAGTAGGTAATACCGATGCTTGGTCGGACAGACCCACTAGAACTAAACCCGATAAGAAAAAAAAAATCTTTACACAGTTTATAGGTACTGCGTCATATCCCTACCTCGGTAAAATCAAGAAAATGTAGTTATAATTAAGGAAAACATAGTCATCAACACCAACCGTTTTAAATCGTTTTTTTTTTAACCCGGCCTTGCATCTATAATCACGATTGCGGCGCCAGGAGTTGAACCACGACGGGGCCCATAAAAAAAGATGAACTCCGTCTTATACACAAGAACCCGTAAGTCCAGCGCCTCAATGCTCTCAGTGTTGTGGGTTCGATCCCCACATGGGACAACACTTTGGACATGGGACATGCACAAATTGTTGTTCTGAGTCTTTTTTGTGTCCGTTTCATATATATGCTTTTGAAGTCCCCCGCGTCGGTGTGATGGATAGAAGATTATTATGACTACTTTTTCACATCTCAAACACTATTACATATTATCTTCTTAAGCAGTACTTCAGAAATGTTAGTTTTTCTAGAAACTTAAATGTTATACTAACCAGAAAAGGAAGTATGCCTATTCGGGAAAGAACTACTAAAAATAATACTGTATTAGTGTACCATTCCTTTTTGTTTCGACGCCAAACTATCATAAAAAAAATTGAGAAGTTTTATGCCTAGACCTTGAAGACTGTGTATTATAACAAAAGTTCCATTATCATTACTTTGTAAATCAAATATTAGTCCTCTGAGTCTATAATTTTTGTGCAAAAAACAAAAATATATATGTATATCTTAAAAAGATCTACAAAAAAGTCCATGATGGTTTATGTCTATCTCCTAAGGATAACAAACAGTAACCATTTTTTATCTTTTAAATATTACAAAAAGATAATGGGTTATTTACGAAGCTACTTTAAACAATAGGTACATTATTATTCCTGATCCAATTACTCGTAGACACATTGTTCATTTAATGCAAGTAAAAAATTCTTTTTACAGCAGGTTTATAATGCGGGGGCCCAACGACCGTCAAGCCTTACGTCCGTCCCGGGTGGCAGCGGCTCAGCAAGATCTGGCCTATAAATATTGCAGTAAGTCCAGTCCTATCATTATAATAATAAAATTAATTACTCCACACTGACCACATTAGTAGTATTAGTAATATCTGCATATTCTACATTGCACCCGTGCGAAGCTGGGGCGGATCGATAGTCTTCTATGCAAATAAACAAAATTGAAGTGTCTGTTTGTAATGTCGAACTTATAGGTTTTTCTTTTCATGCTTACACAGTTATTTGCAAGATACCTATGCCTAAAAACCAGTTTAAATATTTTTTGGCTGTCTGTTTGTTCTGGGTAATTTTCAAAAGGGCTTTATCGATTTTGATAATATTTTACTACCAGGAAGCTGTCTATATAAGGAGTAACTTAGGCTATTTCTCTTCTCAGAAAAACCGTTTCATATTTTGCCCGGTCCGGGAATCGAACCCGAGGTCTCATGGCGACTGCAGCAAGGCAAAAAGGCAGCGCTTTTCAAATTCCACACGAACGAAGTCGCGGGTACCAGCTACTTTAAAAATAAAAAAAAACGTTACCACTACTTGAGGCCTTTGATATGGTCTAAATTTATTTGACTGCCGTGTATTCCATCTATTTATCAGTAATCGTAGGAGATTTATGAGAGTTGAAAAGGTTTAGAATATTCATGATTATGAATAATTTGCAATAGGTACCTGCATAGGGAAATTATTGCAGTATGGTGTTAAGCGTCAAATTACAAGTAAAAAATATATCATTGATGTGAAACATCTAATGCAATCCGTGTAGTGACGGATTAAGAATACGGAATGTCACTACCCCAATTCATCCCGTGGGTGTCGTAAGAGGCTACTATTGGCGCAAAACAACGCAGGACACCAGCACTGCAAAAAAGAAGGAAGACTTGATACAATCCCTATACCAACCCGTCTGGCCAGCGTGGTATAGTAGGCCAACACCTCCTTTCTAAGGAGAGGCCTATGTCCAGCAGTGGACTATTAAAGGCTGCTGATGTGATGTGATGATTGATGATCTAATGCAGAAGGTCAGACAAGTCATTGGCGTAGCGTGGCGACGCCAGATCCTCTCTATTGTTGATGAATCACTAGGATTAGATGAAGTTATAACAGTATGATGTTACGGTGAAAAGTAATTTTGTCGGTTAAAAATACTTTTGAGTTTTGACCGGTTAAGAGGTCTGACTGTAACATATGTTTACATTTACAAATTTATATTAAACTAGCTGGTAATCGCGACTTCGTTCGCGTGGAGTTTAAAAAGCGCTGCCTCAGGGCCCCGGGTACGGGTGTGCAGAGCGTGCACCACACACGGGCGGAATTTTAAAAGGGGCGCCAAAACAGAAATCGAGACAAAACTTTTTCAGAATTTGCATGTCTAATGTATTTATATCTCATCATAGTAACGTCTACTGATCGGTGTACTAAAATAAATGCCAATATAACTCAGCTACGAATTACTTTATTAAACGTAAGTATTTATAATTTAAAAACTCATGCGGGTGGGGGCCCCAAATATCTTTTACCGTGCGAAAGGTTTACGTTCTTAATTCTGGCACGCTGTTATTGCGAGGGTAACACGCGTTATGAAGGATTGGCTCGATAGGAAACACGGGAACCTCTGATATTGACTGACGCAAAGGATGCCTCGGAGGTCACCTGTGTCTGATCCGCAAAGAGCCATCGCCCGGGTGCTGCCACTACAATGGCCAGAGCGTGGTCACGACACTTAACATGCTGCCAGAATGTTTAGGATGTATGGAGCAGAGGCAAGACCTCGTGACTGATTGAGACCATGGTAAGGAACGACTAACTCCTCCTGCCGCGCGAAGTAGGACCGGGAGGGACTTACAACCCTATCCCGGCTCCTGTGCCTCTCCAGCCATTCTAGTAAGATGGGTCTTACCGCCGCTATTGCGGCGTGCCCTGCACTGGGCCGCGCAAGCCGTTGGTCCCACTCCGCCATCAAGATCTGGCGGAGCTCTGCCTGGTATGCCTCTACTTCTTCTTCCTCTTCTCAATCTAAAGCATCCTTGCGCCACCGATACTGTATCGCAATTAGTACTGCATCCAGATCCCGGCTGGCCGCCTCGAAGGAGATCGTACGGTACCCTCTTATCACTTTGATGGATATCACACGTGCGGCCTTCTCAAAATCGCTATATTTCGGGCCGTCAGAGTGTTTTGCCCATACTGGAAGAGTGCTATAGACCGTACTATCGAGTGGCACTCATAAGCCTGGGGACTATCTGCCGTAATTGTGGCCCGAAATCCCATCGGCTATCCAGGACGAGTCCCAGGTACTTCATTGTACGCTCGATGCCGATGCAAACGCTCCCCAACACGATATGTGACCCTGAAGTGGGGCCTTCCGATGCCCATGGAAGCAAAAGGCCTCGGATTTGTGCAAAGCCACCTCCAGGCCCAACCGCCCGATCCTACCGACCACTTGCCGTACACCAGCCGTCGCCAGAATTGCTGCTTTCTGGTGTGTCTTCCCACGCGCTGTCAGAACCGTATCGTTATCATAGCAAGTGATGCCGACACCATAGAGAAATACACCACGTTAAAAGAATTACCTTATAGAAAATTACTACACAATCAAATTACCTAGGTATATTAAAACTTGTTTTTAAGTATTTATTATACGTGGAGATATCGCAAAACAACGTTAAAAACCTACCCTATATAAAATGAAGTACCTACTACAAATTCAAATTATGTGAGTATCTTCATGGATAGGAACCTATGTTAAATGGTAAGGCAGGTAAGGTTGCATATGAGTGTGTAGAAGGTACCTACTTAATCCTTATTTTGTTGCGGAGGGAGATATTTTAAAACTATGATAGGTACGTAGAATGTTTACGTGTTTGTTTTGGTGACGGAGTGGCATATCCCTTTGGATCTCCGGTTCCTATGGGACGCAGGAGCTAGGATTATGTTGTGTTTTCACTAAAAACCAGGCGCTCTACTGTGGCGAGGACCTGTACCATGTAATTTCAGGACCCCTGGATCGACGCGGCACCTACTGGGCCCTATCCCGAGCGAAGCCAGAAGCTTTCCCCCGCCCATCACTTAATCTAGGAGCCCGATAGCATTTTGGTGTAATCCCTTACCGCAGTTTTCAATCTACACCAGAGGTCCCCATTCTCTGGCAGCCTGCTCATGGGTACGAAGAATGCATTTAGCAAGAAATTGAATAATACTTAAAATAGTCTAACTAAATCATTGGATGTTTCCCAAAAAAAGAACAAATAAAATCGTAGTTTTTTGTACTTTGGCTTCTGGTCCGGTTCCGTATTCGATTAATGAAATTTAAAAAGTCACCTTCGTACATCCCTATTGTGTAATGTCCTGAGTGTCAAGTTTAATAAAATTGCTGTTCACAGATTTTTCAATTAAAAATATGGCTAGGAAAGGTGCATTCGAAAATAATTACGATGACTACACAGTTGAAGTGGCAACTAATATTCTTAACAAGACTGGAGACGGGGTGTGTTATTTGGTTACTAACTACTAAAAGTTAAATACCAGATACATGAAACCATAAACATGTTTGATTTTTCATTTTACTAGAATATTGATATTCTCATCGCAACTTGATATTTTAAAGTATATTTTTAATAGTTAGATTATAAATATTCATATAATTTTATATATCAATAAATTGTATAGGTATTTATGTAATATAGGTACTGAAAATATTGTGTGGTCTGTCCAGTATCGCAGATGCAACATAGTTAATTAAACTTTTCATATAAATCTTTCAAAGCAGTAAATTGAGTCTTAAAATATTTCGTTAATAGCTTGACTAACCCTAAACAGATTTAATGTAGGGGTTTTATTGATATCTTTCTCCCAGTGAGGAAACTATCTCCTATTAAATTAGGATTTGTCAATGACCGAAGTCCCATATGCATAGTCTTTTAAGCATTCTTACTTTTATACGTTCAGATAACATCTTTGCCAGTTTTTTATGTAACCTTTTAAATGGTCTTGGTATGCTTTTGCTCCAAGTTCATATTTCTCCTTAATTGTTTCTGCGTATTCATGTAATTCACTCGTTTTAATAAATTGGTGCATTGCCTATGATATTAAGTAAGGACTTTATTTGGTAATTGTTGTAGGATCTTTACAGTTCTTTGTTGATCTCCATAGCTTAGTACCATGTGTCCAAGTTGATTTAGCTATAATTAAATAAATAAATTTTTATTTTTTATTGTCACATTCTGTCTGCTAGCTAGATTAGGTTTCTAACAGTCCTTATACTTGATCAGTACAATTGCTAAATACCTCTACCATACGTTTTAGTATATATATATTTTTATATTGTTGTCTTCAATATCAAAATATCTTTAGAAAATTTATTTTCCATTGATATTGTGGTTTCAGTACCCAATTTGAGTATGAGTACTGACATTGAACCAACATAGTAATATTAACAAAGTTTATGCTATGTGAATAAAGGATAATATATTATGTTTTATGTTGTTGCTTGGAGCAAGCAACACAAGTGACATAACTATGCTAGGCATAGTTATGTCACTTGTGTTCAGTGTGTGTGTTCAGAACAATCAAAGTTCAAAGGATGTTTTCACTAAAAACCAGGCGCTCTACTCTGGGGAGGACCCGGACCACGTAATTTCAGGACCCACCAGATCGACGCTTCACCTACTAAGCCCTAGCCTGAGCGAAGCCAGAAGCTTTCCCCCGCCTATCACTAAATCTAGGAGCCCAATCGCATTCTGGTGTAATCAGGCCGCCCCCATGTCCCTTACCGCAGTTTTCAATCTCCACCAGAGGTCCTCATTCTCTAGCAGCCTGCGGCCCTCTCACGATCTCACGAGAAAATAATAAACTGGAATACTGTGAAGGTAGCCAAATGATAACCCAAAATACCTATCTAGTCCAAAGATGATTCTTTTAGAGTGTCTCGTTTACGATGTTTACGAGGTTTACGATTTTATGACTGCACGGATGGCGTAGTCACCTCGGCCACCTCGCCGCTTACTACTACGCTGAGTGTTCTGAGTCATCAAATTGTTGTTCTGAGTCTGGGTGATTTTGTGTCCGTTTCATGTATGTTTGTAAAGTCCTCCGCGACACAGGATATATTCCTAATGCGGGAGATGTCTTTAAAAAAAAAAAGAATAGTAATTAAAGTTGCTGGCAGGCAACTGAGGATCATAAAATATTTATTTTATTTTTATTTTTATTCTTTTTGCACAAACAAAGTGCAATGGCGGACTTAATGCCAAGGCATTTTCTCCCAGTCTACCTTTGGGTGGTGGGGAAATGTCTGAGTAGGTGCATGAAATTAAAATTAGGTTACATACATACTGAGATACACATACATATAATATATTTACATACATATATAAATATTCTTGTACACTATACCGCACATTAAATGTTACATTCTGTAGTGTGTAAAATGGCATACACCAGACCTTACTTCAATATTTTGATATTTTTTATCAGATTTTTTTTTATTTGATAAAGTACTGTTAAAGCTTATTATCTGAATATTCTTCTCTAGGGAAGCCTTGAGACTGACCACTTAAATTCGACTGCACGGATCCCGTAGTGGTTGAAGTGGTTGCCACGACGCTTCCCACTGCGCCGAGTGGTGATGGTTCGATCCCCATGTGGGACACCGCTTTGTGTGATCCACAAATGTTTGTTCTGAGTCTGGGTGTTCTTTGTGTCCATTTCATGTATGTTTGTAAAGACCCCCGCGACACAGGAATAATATGCAACTGCATGCCTAATCCCAAATTAAAAAATAAAGTCAGTCTTTAATGACCACAAGAAGCACAGTGAAGTTTACAATGCTTATTGTGTACATGTTATACATCTCCCGCATTAGGAATATATTATACCTGTGTTTTCTTTACAAGAAGAAAAAATAATATTTTGTACATTTGGATATTGTCATTAACAATGGCTGTTCTGAAAAGGTTCATCGTATCCGCAAAAAGTCGGTCCAGTTGTCTTATAAAATAAAAACGGACGAGATCTTTCCCCTCCAGTAATCATTATTGCTATGCTGGCGGGTGAGGACAGCTGGGGCGAATAGTCTTTTTCTGTTAAGCTGTAATGCTCCAGAAAGACACCTCTAAACGGGAGAGGGCCGATCCCATTCGTCGTCGACAGCGATATCAGTCGACAAGGGGGCCACGGGCCGCCAGAGGGCAATTTGGGGAGGGCCTAGAAATCAAAAGTCCGGATTGTGCCCAGCTTAGGGCGCTCGAGGCCGCTTTGGTGGCTTTTAGTGGAAAATCCACATACTCGTGGTGATGTTCACCACGATGGCGTCCCCCTGGAGCCTGAGATCCGAAGGGACTTTCCATCCCGTCACCAATAAAATGTCGCCTTTAAATTATTATGAACATTATTAGGTGCCGCAGTTCATAACAGAACAATTAAATGTGGTTTGTATTTTATTAAGATACTTTTATACGAATTTTCGATTGCACGTGTACGATTTCGGGAGGGGTCATGCCCCTTGCGACGCGCCTGCCCTACCAAAGTTTGAAGTAAGGCAGAGTGTCGATATCTAACCAAAAACCCCATAATGTATAATGTGACATACGGTTTGGTGTTCAGACCTAGGCTCAGTATGCTGTAAGCTGTGCCTAGCATTGGAGTGATCAATGCTAACTGATTTCCTCGGTTCAACCTTAGGGCCTACTTGCAGAAACGAAAGCACTATCCTCGGGTAAATTTGTGTCAACTGGGCATGGTTATGTCACTTTGGTTGCTTGTTCCAACTAACAACATAAAACGTATATTATATACAAGTATTATCCTTTATTCACATTGCATAAACTTTGTTAATATTGCTATGTTGGTGCAAAGTCAGAACTCATATTCAAATTGGGTGCTGATACTACGATTTCAATGGAAAATCAATTTTCTAACGATATTTTGAAATGAAAAGAAAACAATGTTTTTTTGCGACTAAACTAGTCCCTAAATATTTGTGTTCTACGAGTATTTAGTGTATGTATAAATTTCAATTAATTAAGTAGGTACGAAATAACGTCTTGTTGTTAAATTAATTTCTGGAAACAATGGAAATGGTTCCTATTTCCATTGTTTCTGATAGTAAATAAGAGTTTACTGTCCTTTGTTTGAGCACCGTGTCCAAAGCACGTCGAGTGACAAAACAAGTAGATATTTCTAGTAAACGTTAGAACGATATTAATTAATCACACAGAACAGAACTTCTGACATTGGTGAAGATTTACAAAAAAGGTTTCATTAATATAAGCACACACGCAAAGTTTCAACATGCGAGACGCGTAGTTTTTGAGATTTTTTTCAATTAGGTATTTTTGAAATATTTATGTCAATCCCTACTACGGATTATAGAATTCTCGGTATTGAACGTTTCGTTTAACCTACGGTTAAGTTGTCATACGTTCGGTAACATTTTATTTTATATAAATTTACGTTAGTAATTATATTTAGTACTCATTTCAATAGTTTTCATGCACATATTTAACAGTTTATATATATTACTCGTAAATTAGAGCATTATTTTCATTACGATGTATTAAAATTTAAACGTGCAGTGTTTGCCCTCTTTTGCTGGCTTGTGGAACGTAACGTAACTTTTTTTTTCTGTGCGGAACTCTCCTTGGATACCACCCACCAGGCACATATATTTACATCATGCACTTTTGGTGCATTGGCTTACTTAATGCCTAAGGCATTCTCTACCAAAAAGAAAGCCTAAAGTTAACCTTTGGGTGATGCAGAGAGAACAGGAAGTAGGTGGACTCGAACCGACCAAAAACCGCACGCCGTCTCCAGGCATCAGTAGCCGGGGAACCAGGTATACCCTAGAAAGCAGAGCCCTGGTATCCCGACATACCTCGGGTCATCTACGGCTTATAGATGACGCCTCCTGTGTGGGAACCCGGATGTTCCCTTCCTGGCCCCGAAGGGTGTGCGCGCTCCGTAGCGCGTCGCGCCACCACCCACCCCGGCCTGCTTCTGCTTGTGTAACAGATGGCCTCACCTTTCACCCTCAGGTCTGCGCTTATGGAAGACAGAGGTCGCTCTGCGACCACGCGCGGCCGAGCCGTCTACGGTACCTGGCCCGTTATCGGGCCTGGCGAGCCGGGAGGGTTCTGAACCTCTCCCGGTCCCGCTCCGCCATCTCCTTCGCAAGCATAACCTGCTCGCAGAAGGAAACGGCGGAGTTCCACGCACTCTCGCTCCGCACCATGGCCGCATTCATGTTACCGAGCGAGAGAATTCCCACCCCGATGGCCGCCTCGAGGTCACGACGTTCCGTGCAGTAGTGGCACTCAGGCGTTGGCTTCTTGCGGATCAGACACAGGTGATCCCCAAAGCATCCTTTCTCCACGAGGACCTGGCGGAGCTGGGATTTCTGATACCCGATTTCTCGAGACTCAGGACTCCGTCCCAGCTCCCGCGCCTTATTGCGCCACCGATACAGAGCCGCAAGGGCTCTCGCCTCCAGGTCCCATGGTGGTGTTCCGGCCAGGAAACTCCAACGCCTCAAAGGAGATCGTGCGGTACCCCCTTATGACCCAGTACTCGCTTCGGTCGTCGCGGGAGTGCGATGTTGCTGGCCTTAGGGCTCCGCCCATACTGGGGCCCCATAAAGGGCCATGGACCGCACAACCCCCGAGTAGTCTCCCCCCCGAGTATGTTGGGTAGCTGCCGCGCCAACCAAACGAAACGTAACACTGACTCTATTTGTAAATTATTCATTAGTATTTAATTTGTTTCATTTTAACAGTACCTATTAGGCAGAAAACAAATAAAATAGGTTAGGTTCAACTTATGTGAGAGAACCTAATTGATTGACCCCGACTCCACCTGGTACGAGCCTGTCCTACCCCTAGAGTGCGTAGTGAGAGCAGCTGCGGAGGCGATAATGGATGCCCGCTATGGGCGTTCGCCTACAATTGTAAAAAATATATGTCGCATTTGGGTATATATTTTTTATAGGGTGTTCGCCTAAATTAGAGTTTTATTTAGAGCATAGACCTGTCGTCCCTATCTACGTCAAAACAGGAAAACTTTTGAGAAAAAAAAACAGGAATTTTTGTATGTAAGTTTGTAATAAAATAGAACACAAGATAAACGTGAAATATTGATTTGATGTATGTTTTTTTTAGATATCTGAAATATTTTCACTGAAATTAGATAAATTTAAACAATTGAAATTCCAACTTCTGAAATCCAAAATGCAAAAAGATATTTTCTATGATGGTACTATATACACAGGCTCTGCTGGAATGGCGTTATATTATTTAATGCAAGGGATCAGAAAACCCGACAATCCCGAATATCTTCAGGTAAATTTTAACACAAGTTACTGTTACTTGCGTAAACTCTTCTCCTCCCATGCTGTATAAACGATAAGACTCAAAATAAACAAAAGAAATCAATTTTGGCGCTAGGCCAATTAACCACCTTATTTAATAACGAAGGTGTTCGTACAAGGCGACTAAGTTGTGGGGAATAATTCTCATTTAGGGAATTTTCCTTGTATATTTCGACCATAAGCATAGCAGCGAATGTGATGTCAACTTTTTTAATAATATATTAGTAACTATTGAGTGCGTTATCATCCACTTTCACATGGTCGGATTGATAATGGAATTAACATGGTAAAAATTATGTTATTAGCACGTAAGACGAGTAAACGGATTGGCATAATTGTATTTGTTACTGTAAAATGTTGAAATAATACATTTTCGGTTAAAAAAATGCCCTTAGAACGTTTAGAGAGGAGAAATCAACCAGACCTAATAACCCTATTAGTTAAGTTATCATTAATAGCCCTTTTTGTACAGACAGCTGCGAAGTATATCGACGTTCAAAATTTAAAAGGACGGAGAATCAGCTTCCTATGTGGGGATGCCGGACCACTTGCTATAGCCACTATTATAGCTTACAAACTAGGCAGCACACGTCCAGAGACCTTGCCTGATTATGAAACTTTAGCTCAAAGGTAAAGACAATTAAATTTATTAATTTCGATGTTAACTGTTGGTTATTGCTGGGTTTTCAGTTACTGTTTTTTTTTATTACGTTGTTCATTTTTTTTTTCGTTTTTTTTCATAATAACTTGATGATTTTTAGCTCAGTTTAAAAATTAAAAAAAATAATTATTAGAAAACAAAACCTGGCTGCGTGAAAATCGTATAGGTACTTAATTTTTAATTAATTATCAAACTTCATTATATTGTATATCTTTTTTAAGCACTATTTTGGGGCCTAACTCCATAAATTTTGAGGAAAAATTAAAAACATGATTTGGCACCAAAAATCTGCCATTTTATTCTTTTCATAATTTACTTAACCGGTGTCACTCACAATTAAGACGATTCGAACAACACTAAACGCCAAAGTCTATCAAGTCGTTTAGGCTACAGAGCCTGCCAAAGAAATAAACATACATACCTATGCCTATATACCTAGTCGTACACACACTCGAAAAACATTACCCTCCTGTTGCAGTCGGGTAAAATAAGGGCAGCATAATGATGTTATAGAAAGAAACGTGACTACGACAGCAAGAGAGCCGATTCTTCTATGATTCGAAAATCAGAAATTAAACAGTAAATAAATTTTGCATTTTGAGGCTGATATGTCAATGATAAATTTTAATAAAATTGAAGTCAGCCAACCAATGATGGAAAACCCTCATTTAGAATCTCCCTTTTTGTTTTTGAAGTCAATCGGTTATTTAACCAAGGGACAGCCATAATTCGTCTCAAAAAGGAATACCCTAACTTAAAAAAAGTTCTGCTATTCATCGATAGATGGCAAAACTAAAAATTATCACCGCTGTGCCGGTCGGAGTGGGAGGTGTTAGGTTGTTTTCGTTACGGAATTTCTGGATTCGGTCTCCACGCTCAAGGCCTGCGATAGAAGCTATGCAATAGCTTAATGAAAAAATTAGGGTAGTGTTCAATTATACATTTCCAGTAATGAAAAGTTACCCAACAGTTTGATTTCACGCAAATAGTAGACGAACTTTAATTACAGATGGTGTTAGGGTAAAATATATCAACCCATATAAAGTCCGAATAGACTGTGATGCGATAATGAAATACAGGCAAATAAGTTGGTAACATGCAGTGACGGATTCAGGATATTGGTTTGGGAGGGGCTTGACCATGGTGAGGGTATCAAGGAAAAAGCAATAAAAAAGCATACAACATTTTATTTTGCCTAACACAAACTTCTCGAATAATTTTTCGCGAATTCTTCAATGACTTTATTAGGTTGTAGGCTGTCAGATATATCTCGGTGAATATACATGGCAGCCAAACCGTTCAACCTGTCTTCTGTTGTTGTCGTACGATGGTACGATTTTATTAGTTTAAGCGAAGAGAAGCTACGTTGCACACAAAGTGGTTCCTTGTAATTTAGCGAGAATTTGTAAGAGAATTTTTATGGTTGGAAAAACTCATTTGTCTCTTGATGCGCCTCTGCTGCTGTTTGTGGGAGATACTTTATTAATCCCAGTCAGTCCAAAGCTCCTTCCAAAGAGTTATTTCTCCTGATAACGAGATAGGATGAGGTAAATGGTCATTGTAAACGCGTGCAGATGCCACTACTGAGGTTAGTTATCTGTTTTTACGAGAAAACTTGGTAACAGGCTGTACAGATCGAGAATTGAAGAGTGCAATGTGAGTCAAAAAGCAACTCTTTAACTGTCTCAAGACAAAGTCAATGAACGAAAGGAATATATTTGATCTAAAACAAAACACGACCTGACATTACTTTCGAGCTCGAAAGAACGTAACAGCGAAAGATGTGTTGCATCAAAGAAAAAGCGAGTATATGTATTAAAGGCTTAGACTACGTGAACAGCTACATATATCAAGATATATGTAGCACGTTCACGTAGCCAAGGCAAAACAATATCATTTGGAGAAAATAGCGAGGAGGAGGAATTCGAACGCAGGGTGAGTATGAGTTGAAAAAGATTCTGGAGCTTAAAAGAAATCCTAAAAGGGCCTTTCCCCTTCACATGAAAAAGACTGTTATAGATACCTGTATCCTACCGACTCTAACATAATGCTGCCAAGCTTGGACGAAATAAAAAGGCTTATTATTATTAAAGGCTTATTTTACCTGTAATATTCCTTAGTATCAGGTCATTCTATATTTGAGCAATAAGTTGAACGTTTGATAGTTCTGGGTGTCTGCACTGGGATGTCCAAAGGTTCTACAATACGACACACCTCTTGAAAATTTTCTTCTTATTTAGGTTCTCTGTACCTTTCCAGTGTTCTTATTACACTTTTTACCATATCATAGCAAATACCGTGTGGTGACGGATTAAGAATACGGAGTGTCACCACCGCCATTTATCCCGTGGGTGTCGTAAGAGCAAACTCTACAGAACAACAACACTACAAAGAGAAGGCAAACTTGACACAAACTCTATACCAACGCATCTGGCCAGCGTGGTAAGGAGGACAAAATCTCCTTTCTAAGGACAGACATATGTCAAGCAGTGAACTATTAACGGCTGTTGATGATGATTGATGAGCAAAAGTTGAGATCTAATGCAACAGCCTGAAGTTACCGTGAAAGTGAAACAGTTATTTTAAATACAGTGGCGGTTACCATTAAAGGTAAGACAAAGTCGAATCAATGAATAAAAGCTAGAAGTGTTGCACTTTTCAATGACGGAGCAGTTCTGTCCTTATCTTTAATAAACTCTGTGATAGAGTCAAATAGCTCTTTAAATTAAAGGAGTGCATTATGCCTTTCAAGCCAGCGTGTATCATTAAGAATTTGTAACTGAAATCTTTTTGCCTCAGGGTGTTTGTAAAGGATAGCTCGCTTGATAATTTCCAATCTTTTTGCTGACTCACGCATAAAACTGGTAACACTTAGGGGTGTCCACTTAAAAAATATATCGATATTTATATTCGATGTAAAATATTGGATCCCAGCATCGATGTTTATCGATATATCGCTAGAAAACATCGATATTTTTTCACTATCGAATACTTTCCACAAAAATTTAATATTACCTTTTTCCAGTGAAACGCACAAAGTTTGTGGTCCTTGATTTTGTAAGTATGAATGTAGAATTAGAGACCAGAGTAACATAGCTAAACTAGTAGTGTAATACATATAAAAGATCATTATATTATATCTTCAATATAAAACACTGTCACAAACGAGTAGCCTTTTCAACTTCGAACTAGCAATCAAACGATAGGTCAAATCAGTAATTTTAGAGTAATAAATTATAGTAGCAAGTAAAATTCTTACCTAAATTTGTCTTAGATAAACAATTAAAACAATGATTTATTTGCGTTACCGCCAAACAGAAGAAGACGACGCAAGAAGAGTGAAGTGAGTGTAAGTAAATATAATGAACCTATAGAATCCACAGACTATACATACATTGAGAGTGAATAGTCGATCGATCTGTCAGGATAGATTAGATAATTAAGATGGTCACTCACAGATGTCACTATCTTAATGAACCTTATTTAAAATTGAAGGCATCAAGTAGTGTTAAAATTATTTAGTTCGTTAATAGATTCGACAAGAAAATAAAAAAAGCAAATATTCGATGTTTCTATAAATAAATATATCGATATATCGAATACAATAAATGTTAGTCAAAACATCGAATCAATCCGATATATCGTACGGAATACATCGAATAAATTCGATATATCGATGTTAAGTGAATATCCCTAGTAACACTATTTACTATTCCCATAATGTTGCGAACACTAGTCAAAGTGTATGGATTCATGATAGCTAGGTTTAGTTTATGCGCTGCACAATGCATGTAAGGCGCTAGCGGTGGGAATAGCTCAACTCGAGATTGTACGCAACCGAACTTTGGAGACATATTGGTACCCCCGTCGTAACCTTGACCTCTCAAATTCTTATTTTTTAGATCGACTCTATTTAATTCTTATATTATCTGATCGCTTAATGCAGCACCAGTAAAGTTGCAGATAGGATAACTCTACGTATAGTGTGCTCTTATGTGTATCCAAATACCCGATACATACACTAATTTGTTCTATACCACTGGCATCGGTTGTTTCGTTAGCAAGGACAGTATAATATTTGGCTTCTTTGACATTGTCGAGTACCTTCCTCGAAATAACAGAACGCCAACAATTAATCAGCTGATTTTGAGTTGTCCTGCTCAGATAGATGTCCGATGTCAGTTTCTGGAGAGATGTATTACCTGAGTCAATGAGAAATTTCAAAAGTGCTCGAAATTTTCTTTGGCTGAGTTCATCACGATCACTCAATGTACCATCATCTCGGTGGCTTCTTTACTCAATACTCCTCAATACTTATTAAGGACTAGCTGTACCCTGCTACGCTTCGCTGTGGCACATTGTGGTTCAATTTATCAGAAATTAGGAAAAAAACTGTCCCAAAAAATACATAAAAACAATCTTAAATAAATAAAAATGTTGTATATCGTATCAAAATTTGAACTCATATGGCTTAGAACGTGAGTAATGTTTTGTACGATTTGAAGTTTTCTTGTAAAAAGCGATAAACCGTTTTTGACAGTTCTTGACATTTTTTTTACAATTTTCCGCTAAGACTAACCGACTAATAATAAGGTTAATATTTCTTAAGAAGAGATTTTAAAGTCTATTTCATTTCCTAGCCCCTGCTTATGTCGGTTAACCGTCTAATGCGTCGCAATACAGATAAAGCAGGATGGAGTGATTGTGAAACTATGCGCTTATGTTTATTTTCGTTAATAAACTACGCATAAAGGTTGAAAAATACATCTTCCCAGTTTCCCAGTGTCCAAAAATGCTGGAAAGATAGGCATATAGTAAAATACTGTCCTGCAAAAAATCTGTTTGCCCTAAATGTGGCAATAACCACCTAAATTGTGAGACGAAACCATTAAAATGCATTTACTGTTAGGTGCATCATATGACCTTACATAGAACCTGACCCGAATAAAATTAGACATTTTATGCCTGA